CAGCTCATATTGGGTGTTTCTCAGAAAAAGGTGGCTGTGATCAGTCACAAGGGGTCCTCCTCAGCCTGGGACAGGGAGCTGCGTTAGCGTCAGAGCTGGAGCTGTCCTCTGTCTACATGACCGGACTCTGAGCCTGATAGAGTTCGTCTTTCCTCCTGCCTGTGTCTCAGGGAAATGTGGTCTTCGGGATGGACGTTTGACACAGCAGCCTGGTCTGGGGTTTGTGGCGTTTGGAAGAATGCCTGCGTTGTGCAGTTGCGGCACTCATAGGGCAGGACCGCCTGACCGCAGCTCCTATGGCTGTACCTGTACCTCTTTATACGAGCGTAAATCGTATAGCGAAAATCTGTAAAAAGATCAGCCTGTTTCCACTATTTCTTATGGGGTTAAATTACGATCCATTCCACACCACAAAAACATCACCCCCTACTTTTACTTTTTTCACCCAAAAATGACAAAAGAAAAAAGAATAGTAACTAAAGTTTATATTGTGGATTGTGTTTTGAGTAATAAATAAACTGCCTACCTAGTTAGACCTCATTAATCATACCTACAGTAAGTCCAGTGCTGTACTGTACAGTAACCACTTCGATTGCTTTTTGTGTAATGACACACACACACACGCACAATTTTATTTTTCCTAACACCTTTCGGGTCCACTCTGCTGGCTGTGTGAGCTCTCCCCTGCACTTGTTAGTGGAATGGGATGCAAACACTCGATATGAAACGAGTCGCTTTCCTCTTTCACTCTATATATTTGGCGGCGATTTCGAAAATTTTCTCTGTATCGCTTCTGGGTAGTTTCGAAGCTGCCTTTCGCTAATCGAAGTGTGGGTAAAAATGCAAATGCTTCATAGTATCACATTTTTTGAAAAAGTACACGTGTTAAAGAGGTCCAGGTGTGTTTCCCCTGAACCCACCAAGCGTGGGGCCGAGGGGAGAGCGGGCTCCGTGGCTGAGGGCTCCTGTGTGCTCTTGCAGGTCCTCAGACGCTGGGCCCATGGACGACCGGCTGCCCTGCAAGGCCAAGGTGGCGATCTCAGGTAAGCACGCCGGGCTCACCGCCGACTCCGCTGGCTGGCTCTGCCCAGACCTGAGCCTCCATCACAGTGACGGGGCAGGGGGACCCCTCAGTTCTCACCCCTCACCCCTCACCCCAGCCAGCGAACACCGTGCCCGAACTCTGCCCTCACCGTCCCGCCCCTGCGCGGCTGGGACTGCGCTCTCTTTTAAACGGGCACGCCGCAGCACAGGGTCGCCAGGCATCAGCAGGGAGTTCCACACTGACACGAGAGACGGGCAGTGATTTGCCTGCGCTGCCTATTTCTGTGGAGCAGGGGGAGGGTAGCAGGAAAAACGAAGAGGCTCACTTCGCCATGAAGAACAATAAGAAATATGCCTCACATCGGCATTCTTCTGTTCCTCCTCACATCTGAAGTGGATGCAGAGCCGAAAAACATTGTTTTTCTTTGCTTTTTCGACTTTTCCCCCGTGGAGTTTAAGTTCTGGACGACGCTTCGCAGCTCACGCACTGCCGCAGCTCCTCTCCCAGACCTCGGCAGAACTGCCAGATGCTCCGAACATGGCTTCAGGGGCCAGGCATCCCGAGAGCGCTCTTCAGAGCGCGTCAGCGGCTCAGGCCCGTGGTTGTGGTGCGCGTTATTTGCCGAGTGTGGACAGCGCGCTCAGCAACCCCCAGTCTGGCGCACCGAACAGCTGTCACTGCTGTTGGGACTCCTGCGCATCTTAACACATTAATAGGTTGTAATGAATTTGTCTCGACTCGCGCCGCCGGGGTGGGGTGTGGGGCAGTGACAGTGACAGAAGAGATTTCGGTGATGACCCCTGCGGGTTCCCCCTGGGGGGGCGGGTTAGTGAATCGGGTCATTAACAGATCATAATTAACTGCTCAGTGGCAGCAGGGGGGACAGTAATGCTTTCTGTTTGGCAGACTGCAATAAGCCCCTCCCCACACTGCTTTCCGCGGGATCACAGCCAGGGGACAGACCCCCGCTGAGCTGACAGACAGCCCCGCTCTCCTGCACGCGCACTCCGGGGTGAGTTAGAGATGGATGCAGTTGCTCTCTGCTCCATTAGGCCAGGCTCCAGGGGGAAGGCACCTCGCTGGAGCTGCTGGAGACGGAGCAGCAGTAAGCGCAGCTGGGCGTGTCTGTGTCGGCGAGCAGTGACAGAGTGGGCTGGCAGGCCTGAGGCTGCAAGCCCAGAGTGGCATACAGGCACGCAGACCATCCTTCGTTTCTCCCTGCTGGGCCTTGCAC